CAGGGAGAGAGAGAAGCGATGCGGGACTCGATCCCGGGACTCCGGGATCATGACCTGAGCCGAAGGCAGTCACTTAACCAACTGAGCCACCCAGGCGCCCCGCCATTAAATTTTATATTTCAGTCTAATAAACCACTCTAGCAGTTATTTAATTTTTTCCAGTTAAAAACTACAAAATAAATTGCTAGCTTCTGTAATATAAAGATAGGAATATAATATAAAGATAGGAAAGACTCGTGAGACAGCTGTGCAGTCAAATACATGATAACACATCCACAGAACTTCTGTAGCAATCCACTTCTCTGTGGACATGGCGGGTGGTTTTTCCCCCACTTCCCCAGTGTGCTGATTCAGGCATAGGCTCTACATTTGAACCCAGATGGTCCATTTATTAAGTCTCTAAACTGTTTTATTTCAAAGCTTTGCAAATCTAAACACTTTCCTTTGGGCTAGGCTCTCACAGGGATTTTTAGTTTTAAAATTAATCTACTAAGCAAAGGACCATATATTTAGTGTACATTCTTTACTGTCAGTTGAGATTGGCTTTGAACTCTCCCAGTCTGAGATTGGAAAGCTGAGGTTCCCATAGGGGATACCTTTAATGTGTTTAATTTAGATTTTTCAGAGACTTACGCCTAAAAATCATGTAAGTAGTCTCTGGTCTCTGCAGTCTTCTAGGTTTTCATTCAGTGGTGGTGCCAACATTGAAGCCATCATTGCTTCTGAAAAAGAAGTCTGGAACAGAGAAAAATTGACTCTCCAAAAATCCTTAAAAAGAGCAGAAGCTGAAGTGTACAAACTGAAAGCTGAACTAAGAAATGAAGCTTTACTTCAGAATCTGAGCCCTGATTCTGAGCATGCTGCTATAAAGGTAGGAGACATCTTCCATCGAAACATGTACCAAAGCTGGTCCTCTGCTTTTGCCTTGTTTCATCTCTCACTAACCTTAACTGAACAGAGTAAAGAAGTGTAGGTGGCACTTAGGCTGTCTCTGGTCGCACTGTTGAGTGTGTGTCATGAATGCAGGTCTCTAGCTGGTCAAAAACCTTGGTGGCAAGGCATGCCCTCTTGGCAGCACCATGAGCTCATGGTCCCACTTCCTCCATCTCATCCCTAATAGATAACAGAAAGTTCTCTTTTCCACTGCCAACAAAAGCTCTACTACTTTCAATATCAGAGCATCACCACGCTCTGTAAGATGGCAAGCCCTCTGAACAGTCTCTCTACGGACTCTAATGAATATTGCAATAAAGCTTTTAATCCGTTAACATAAAATCCAAAACAAAAAGACAGAAAAATGTTTGGAATATTTTTTTAACTATGGAGTGAACATAAATTTATGACTCTTAAAGGGACAGAGAACATTAACATTGGAAACATTAAATAAAAAAAAGTTAAATGGATTAGTGACACTAATAATAAAAGTAGCTCTATGCAGTTAGAAGAAAAACCGAGATGATAATGGAATTACAAAAATATTTGCAGTAAATATGATGACTAGGGACTAAAATCCGAAATAAACCAAAAACCTAAGTATAAGGTTTGTATTCACATTGCACTGACTAAAATGAGGGAGAAGTGTAAAATTTAAGGTTATCTTTACCTTCAACTTTGCTGATCAAGTAGAAAACAGTAGTAGGATATCTGCCGTTCTGCTACTACAACTTTTTTTAAAATAAAATCTAGGTTATCTTCCCCTAGAGAACAATTTGAATGGCTTCTTAATAATGTCTTTATGTTCTTCCCTTTCTTTAACATAGAGAATTTATGGTAAATACCTGAGGGCAGAAAGTTTTCGGAAAGCTCTCATTTATCAGAAGAAATACCTGCTGCTGTTACTGGGTGGGTTCCAGGAATGTGAAGATGCCACCCTGGCTCTGCTTGCCCGGATGGGGGGGCAGCCAGCCTTCACTGACCTCGAGGTGATCACCAACCGTCCAAAGGGCTTCACCAGGTTTCGGTCAGCGGTCAGAGTGTCCATGGCAATTTCAAGGTAAAGTGTTGGAAAGAAAGTGCATTTTGATAGACTCTAAAAGGATTTAGATTTGTAATCTTCTCTTTTCTCTGCCTATTGTGCTCTGTATTCATACAGTATGAGACACTTGCCATCACTAAAACATGCGGGCTTCTTTCTTTCATCCTTTTAGCCAGGGATACTTTACATTGTACCATGGAGACCCTATGGAAACGGTTTCTCAGATGCAGGCAGCTGGTAACTCAGAGCTGGCACATCTAATCTGGATTGTTTTTTTTGTTTTATTTTATTTTTTAACTCTGAGTAAGCCCATGAACTACCTCAGATGTAGAAATAAAAGGGATCACAAAAGGGAAAAAAATGTTTTTGAAAATTTACTTATTAGGCTACACATTCATTTTCTTCATTGCTAAAATAACCCACTCTTGGGGTTCTGCTACACAAAGCTCTGGCCTAACTCTGCGTCCGAACCCCAGATTAGCCTTTAGGGCATTGGACTGAGCTAGTGCTTTTGTCACTCTGCCTGTAGTAGTTCCAAGCTAGGAACTCTGGTACTCATTCTGTTTGTGGCTGAAATGGAGCCCGGACTCAAACGCCCTTGAGGGCCTGGCCTCCTGCAGTCCTCTCATTTGAGTGATACATACCCAGACCCCTAGGCTTCTTCATGCTTCCCCTCCCTTTTATTCATGTAGGAACCAGACAGTCTCAAAAGAATTTTTAGTTTTTAAAGCTTCCTATCAGGTCACATCTCATACGGTCTTCAAAGGGTTTTGTCCTTTTTCTTTGACCTATCTTCCTTTGAAAAATACAACAGGGGGCGCCTGGGTGGCTCAGTCGTTAAGCATCTGCCTTCGGCTCAGGTCATGATCCCAGGGTCCTGGGATCGAGTCCCACATCGGGCTCCCTGCTCCGCGGGAAGCCTGCTTCTCCCTCTCCCACTCCCCCTGCTTGTGTTCCCTCTCTCGCTGTCTCTCTCTCTGTCAAATAAATAAAATCTTTAAAAAAAAAAAAAATACAACAGAAGTTTTTAACTAGAAGCTGTCTGAAATCACTTAGTTCAGAATACCATCTCACAGATGAGGAAACTGAGGCCCGGAAAGGTTGCAAAGCCAGTAGTGATAGAGGTAGGACAATCAGCCAGGGCTCCCACATCTCATCCATGTGGGCTCTGCAAAGGAAGCTCACATTTTCTCTTATTAATGGTCTGAGACCCTCCTTGCCTCTATCATTCCACATTGTTGGCAGGTTGTCCCAGTTTCTCCTTCCTCATCGTCCATTCCTTTTACCACCTTGTACACTCTGTACAGGGTTAAGTGCTGGGAGATGCACTGATGATGAAAAAAATAGAAACCTTGCCTAAATCCCTAAAGGCAGCTCACTTCCTAGTGGGGAAGACCAGTATGCTCATAACTTAGAAAACACTAAATGACAGGTCACAGGAGGTAATTATTAATTTTATTGGAAGAATTTGGGAAGGCTCCTTGAAAGCTAGTCACCACTGAAAGACTTCATTCTAACTGCCTCTTTTTCTTGTCCTCTTACATGTTCATTGTATTTTCACCATCCTAAAACTGAGCTTTGCAACTGATTGGAATTAAGAAATCAAAACTGGTGTTTAGAAAGTTCCTTGGGCCAGGGTAGGGCAGGCAGCACCTGGCTACAGCTGGTCTGCTACACTGCCTCCCCCCTTCCTTTTAAAGCCTTATTGGTTTTCACCCCCGATCCCATGGCCTCACTCCTCTTCCAGCTTTCCCAGCTCGGTCTCACTGCCAGGGTAAGAGTCTTTTTATTCTCGTTCCATCTCATTTGCTTTGTAGTCTCCATTCTTTTCTCTCTCTCTCTTTTTATAAGATTTTATTTATTTATTTGAGAGAGAGAGCACGAGCAGGGGGCAGGGAGAGAGAGAAGCGATGCGGGACTCGATCCCAGGACCCTGGGATCACGACCTGAGCTGAAGGCAGACGCTCAACCCACTGAGCCACCCAGGCGCCCCATTCTTTTCTCCTTTCATTATTTCTCGCCCTTTCTTTGCCCATCCACTTTTCTCTTTTTTGCTTTTGCTCTTCATCTCTTTGAGTCCTAAACCTCTAAAGTCAGAACCTGGTCCTGGCAACAGATAAGATTTCTGGGCCTCTTGGGAAGCCAGTTAGTTCTGTTCCAGTTTATTTTGCCACAAACCAGGGACATTTGCATAATTTTAGATTAGGCAGTCATGTGACTGTGTTGAAATTTGTTCTGTGTTCATATTCAAATGTATGACTTTATTTTTGCGGGAAATGTATAGTTATACTCTTTCCATTATAGATGTGCTGTGAAACTTTTTCTTGGCATCTTTTTTAGAATGAAATTTTTGGTTCGACGGTGGCAACGAGTCACAAGTTCTGGTTCTATCAATATTAACAGGGATGGCTTTGGACTGAATCCAGGTGAAGTCAAAATAGGATTTCGTGTGTTTATGATTCTCTTAATATTACTGTATTTGTAATGCCTTCCAAATAGTGTTCTGGAAACTGTTGTCCAAAGACCAGAGAGCCCTGTAACCAACAGAGCTGGGGACCTTGCTGTTTTAAAGAGTAATGAGAGCTAATTTTTATTATTCTCATGTATTCTCATGTATTCTCCCAGTCCTATGATGTAAGTATGGCTACTGTTATTCTCACTTTATAGAAGAAAAACTGAGGCATGGAAAGCATTTGTTGTTTGTCTCAGATTACCCAGTGGGAAGTGGCAGAGCCAGCATTGAACCCTGGCAGTCTGGCTCTAGACCCCACTCCCCATACAACTGCATTTAAGGCTCTGATTCCAGATAGGATTGCTATTAGTCATATGGAAGTTATGGTTTCAAGTTTTCACGATTTAGCAGTATTCAGGTTTCTGAGCTTACAAATAGGTTGTATATAATGGTAACAGTTAAAATTCCTTCTCTCTACACCTAAAAGTGGAAACAAACTAGAACTTCAATATTTTAGGCATATGGATGAGCTCAGAAACTGGGGAGTATACAGAGTTTCAGGCACACAGCATAACTATATTAATGCAGCTGTGTATTGGTATTAAACCACCTACGTATTCTACCAGTAACTAAGCAGAGGAGGAGGAAATATGTTTGGTACGCTAAGCAAAGTGCCTTGAAATATGCATCCTTACACAGAAAGAGCTGAAATTTGCACCATAATGAGTTTTGTGTTGTAAGTTAGCAAATCTTGATTTCACGTTTTTTTCTAGTCAAAGTCGGTAGGATGGTGTGATGTAATATTTTTTATCCACATCATCTTTTTCCCCAAACCATACACACTCAGACACCCCTCACCTCACCTCTAATTATAACTAAGAAGAGGTCTTTTAAAAAGAAAATATTCCAAGTAAGTAGTTTATTTTCTTTGAGGTATAGTTCCAGATTATTAGAAATAATTACAATCAAAGGAAAAGGAAATAACAGTTCTACTGTTTTTTTTCTCTTCTTTAGGAAGAATAATTGAAGATGACTATAAATAGGAGATAGTATTGTATAGTACAGTATTGTAGTCTTTTTAGCCCATCTCTGTTCTGTAGAAATTTTTCAAGGGCTTGATTTTTTTTTTTTTTTTTTTTAATGATGTGGTACATTTTGGATTACTTTAGGCACTGAAAAGACTGACCCATTTTATCATTCTTCTGGTGGGCTGGAGCTATATGGAGAACCGAGACACGCTACATATCGCTCAAGATCAGAGCTGGACTATCCTAGGTCTCCTGTACCTTTTCAGAATAGGTAAGGATTTGATAAACATGCTTAGAGTAGTTACATATACTAATACTTAACAGACAAAGGAGGACGGTGTTAGAGCTTTGACTCCTTTGCATTGAAATAACTAGGTGTGTGTTTAGTTGCATATGATATATATAACCTAAGGCTGAAAATCAAAAATAGTTTTTGGATATATACCTGGTTTCCAAGGGTATAGGAAACCGAGCACTGGGTGTTATATGCAACTAATGAATCAATGAACACTACATCAAAAACTAATGATGTACTATACAGTGGCTAACTGAACATAATTAAAAAATGATAATTTCTTTAAAAAAAGAAAGGAAACCAAACTGACCATGTGTTATTTTAGTATATGCTGTGGTCGGACATTGGGAAAAGTATTAACTAAAATTGACAGTCTCTGGGGATTATGAAAGAATACTCTAAAGTCTACATGACAAGATGCATTTGTACGTATATAGTGTTTATCGAGGACTTCTACAACAAGCACTGTACTAGATGCTTTTATGATGACTTAGTAGCTGCTTTGAGTTTATTAGAAGTTTTTTCCCATATACATCGCAAACTCAGACATTTGGGGGATACAGAGTAAGCCTAGCTTAGCGTTCCTGAGTACTTACTGAGACTTAACTGACTGAAAGACTACTGAGGCAAAATGCTGACCTGACAGGACATATCAGCCACTGAGTGAAGAAAAGAATGATTTAAGAAACATGGTTATGAAGCTGAAAGAACACATCAGGTATTATCAACAGACAAGAGCTAACAGATTACGTACGTCTATTTTTAGCATGGCCATATACCAGAAATATTGCAAAGTTACAATTTCTACTCTCTAGTTTTAGTTTTTAACCCTAACAGTGTAAAAATATTATCTGATTCTTAGCAAGATCACTGGAAAATATTATAGGGATGGCATTGATAATATTTATATTAGATATATGTTACATAAGAATTAATAACTTACTATAATTATAAGTAATTATTATTTACTGGGAACCTTTTCTGATCCTGGGTTATATACATTCAGAATCTCTAATCCACATTCAGCCTTGCACATAAGAAAACTGAAGCTCATAGTCAAACCAAGAACTACTTGTCTGCAAAGCCTCATACTTTGCTACCTATGGACCAATAGCAGACACACGTAAAGAAATGTTCAAATGTGACTTCTGACTGTTCTTGCCAGTTATCAGTTACTATGTTCATGGCTCAAGTTAAAGATTGACCTTTTGAGGGCAGGGTGGAGGCAGGTTGTTACGTTACTTGCTTTGTGGATTCATGTTCATATTTTTAATCTCATAGGTACCCAGGCCCTCCATCTGATTTAAATCCTGGTTCCTTAGCATGTTCTCAGCTTCAGAATTATGACCCTGACAGAGCCCTGACAGATTATATCACTCGGCTAGAGGCACTGCAGAGACGGCTTGGAACCGTACAGTCAGGTACTCCCGGCTTCACCGTGCATTACTATGGGCAGCCCTTTAGTGCTGGATGGACCCAGAGCTCTCTGTTCTCTCTCTGAAATTCCCTGACCTTCCTCATTAGATAAATCAAATCTCAGAATTTCGTTCCTGAGTTACCAGGTTAGACTTGGGAATTTAACTCAAGATACGACTTAGCACCCCAGATTGCACTCCCACAAAAAAAGATCCCCTCCTCAGATTAATTAGATGCAGTGCACAGCAGGCACCTGTGTACAGAGTCCCCTGCCGTGAGGCTTACGGAGTCTGCTGGCGAGCATGTTCCCCAGGATAGCTGCCTCCCGAATACAGGCTTCAGCTGCACCAGGGCCACGCTGTACAGGTAGTTTTCACTAAGTACAATGCAGTACTAGAAGTGTATTTCCTGTTAGGATTTTCTTAACATTTTCTTTTCTCTAGCTTACTTTATTGTAAGAATATAACATTATAATGTAGAAATATGTTAATTGCTTGTATGTTACTTAGTCAGGAGTAGGCAATTAATAGTTAAGTTTTGGGAGAGTCCAACTTATACATGGATCTTTGACTGTGTAAGGGGTCAGTGTCCCTGACCTCCGCATTGTCCAACGGTCAACTATAATACATGGTGAGGCATGCAAATTAGGGGTGGGGACATGAGAGAAGGAAGCAAGTATCTTAAGCATTTAATGCAGCCGTTATCCCTACTAGGACCCAGGGCTTTTATGCATGATCCACGAAATCTGTTCCATTCAAAGACGACTTTATAAGAATGACCTTTTTTCCCTCTTTTCAGAAACACACAAAAATTCGTACTTAATAGATATATGGAGTCCCTCTTCATTGTGGGAAAATCTCTTTTCCCCGTCTCCCTTCAATTCACTCCTGATTCAGAGGTTTGAATCATTTTAATTTAATGTGCTTTAATTTTAAATCAATATTTTGTTTTTACTTTTGTGAAAGACCTTTTTTTTCCTACCATCCCCACAAACTAGATAGGGCCAGTAGCAGGTTATTTTTAGTAGTTTGTTTCCTCATACAAGAAATCACCTAGCCCAAGCAACTTGTAGTCATAGGAAACTATTATTATCATAGCTGGACTTTGGTATGGCTTGGTTTGTATTTTGTTTTGAGCGTCTAGATTTCACAAGACTCAGATTTGATTTTATTTTTATTTATTTAATTTAAATTCAATTAACATATAATGTATTATTTCAGAAGTAGAGTTCAGTGAAGACTCAGATTTTAAAGACCAAAAGATTTTTCAAGAGGCAGGAGGTATAGGGTATAGGACATTCAACCTGCTGGGCACTTTTAAGAGAACTTAACATTAGTCTGACCTTGCCACAGATCCAGCCACAGTGACTTTTAAATATATATTTAACGTCTCTTTTAAAAATCGTTCAGGGGCGCCTGGGTCACTCGGTCAGTTGGGCATCCAACTCTTGGTTTCAGCTCAGGTCATGATCTCATGGGTCATAAGATCGAGCCCCCCACTGGGCTCTGCGCTCAGCAGGGCATTTGCTTGAAGATTCACTCCCTCTGCCCCTCCCTCAACTCATGCACATGTGTGCACTCTCTTTCAGATAAGTAAATCTAAGAAGTAAAAATCAGTTCAAGTATGAATAAGACTTTTTTTAGAAAAATAAAAGGTTTTTGTTTTTTTTTTAAATAGGCTCTGTGGCCTAGCACAGAGCCCAACGCGGGGCTCGAACTCAAGACCCTGAGATTGAGACCTGAGCTGAGATCAGGAGCTGGATGCCTAACTGACTGAGCTACCCAGGCTCATTTAAAAAAAAAAGGCATTTTTTAATGGAGGGTAATAGTAATCTTCTGCCCTTTGTGAACTAGTCTGGTGTAGGTAGCAATCTAATTTGAAATCACTTCAGGCATACCTCATTTTTTTTTTTTTAAAGATTTTATTTATTTGAGAGAGAGAATGAGAGAGAGAGAGCATGAGAGAGGGGAGGGTCAGAGGGAGAAGCAGACTTCCCGCCGAGCAGGGAGCCCGATGCGGAACTCGATCCCGGGACTCCAGGATCATGACCCGAGCCGAAGGCAGTTGCCCAACCAACTGAGCCACCCAGGTGCCCCAGGCATACCTCATTTTATTGTGCTTTGCTTTATTGCAGTTTGCAGATAAGCATTTTTTACAAATTGAAGGTTTGCAGCATCCCTGTGTTTGAGCAAGTCTCTTGGTTCCATTTATCCAATATTTGCTCCACCAACCAGCCACTCCTATGTCTCCTTTCCTCTCCTAGAGCCTCCCTATTCCTGAGACACAGCAACATTGAAATTAGGCCAGTCAGTAGCCCTACAATGCCCTCTAAGTATTCAATTGACTGAAAGGAAAAGTCACACATCTCACTTAAAATCAAGAGCTAGAGATGATTAAGCTTAGTGAGGAAGGCAAGTCAAAAGCCAAGATAGGCCAAAAGGTAGGCCTCTTGCACCAAAGAGCCAAGCTATAAATAAAAAAGATAAGTTCTTGAAGGAGATTAAAAGTGCTACACCGGGGCGCCTGGGTGGCTAAGTCGGTTAAGCATCGGCCTTTGGGTCAGGTCATGATCCCAGGGTCCTGGGATTGAGTCCCACATCGGGCTCCCTGCTCCTCCCCCTCCCTTTGCTGCTCCCCCTGCTTGTGCTCTCTCTCTGTCAAATGAATAAGTAAATAAAACCTTTAAAAATAAATAAATAAAAAATTTTAAAAAGTGCTACACCAGTGAACACACAAGAAAGCAAAACACCCTTATTGCTGATAAGGAGAAAGTTTTAGTGGTCTGGATAGATCAAACCAGCCACAACATTCCCTTTCGCCAAAGCCTAATCCAGAGCAAGGCCCTAACTCTCCTCGATTCTGTAAAGCCTGAAAGTGGTGAGGGAGCTGCAGAAGAAAGTTTGAAGCTAGCAGAGGTTGGTTGATGCGTTTTAAGGAAAGAAGTCTCCATAGCATAAAAGTGCGAGGTGAAGCAACAAGTGCTAATGTAGAAGTTCCAAGTTACCCAGAAGATCTGGCTCAGATCATTACTGAAGGTGGCTACACTGAATAACAGATGTTTAATGTGGACAGAACAGCCTTCTTTTGGAAGAAGATGCCGTCTAGGGCTTTCATAGCTGGAGACGAAGAGTCAGTGTCTAGCTTCAAAGGACAGGCTGACTCTCCTGCTAGGGGCTGATGCAGCTGGTGACTTTAAGTTGAAGCCAGTGCTCATTTACCAGTTCAAAAATCCTGGGGCCTTTAGGAATTATGCTCAATCTGTTCTGCCTGTGTTCCATCAAGATAGAACACCGCATCTGTTTATAACATGGTGTACTAAATATTTTAAACCCGTTGTTGAGATCCACTGTTCAGGAAAAAGAGATTCCTTTCAAAATATTATTGCTCATTGACAATACACCTGCCTACCCAAGAGCTCTGATGTACAACGGGATTAATGTTTACATGCCTGCTAATACAACATCCATTCTGCAGCCCATGGATCAAGGAGTAATTTTGATTTTCAAGTCTTAGTACTTACGAAATATATTTTGTAAGGTTCTAGCTATCATAGATAGTGATTCCCCTGACAGATCTGGGCAGAGTAACCCAAAAACCTTCTGGAAAGGATTCACCGTTCTAGATGCCAGTAAGAACATTTACGATTCATGGGAAGAGATCAAAATATCAACATGAACAGGAGTTTGGAAGACCTTGATCTCAACCCTCATGCATGACTTTGAGGTGTTGAAGACTTAGTGGAGAAAGTAACTGCAGATACGGTGGAAGTAGCAGAACTAGAAGTGGAGCCTGAGGGTGTGACTGAATTGCTGCAATCTTACGAGGAGACTTTTTAATGGTTGAGGGGTTCCTTATGGATGAGCAAAACAAGTGGTCTCTTGAGATGGAATCTGTTCCTAGTGAAGATACTGTGAAGATTGTTGATAACAAAGGATTTATAATACTCCATAAACTTAGTTGTAAAGCAGCAGAGTTTGAGAGGATTGATTCCAGTTTTGAAAGTTCTACACTAAAAAAAAAAAGTTCTACACTGAGTAAAATGCTGTCAAACAGCATCACATGCTACAGAGAAATTGTTCATAAAAGGAAGAGCCAATCGATGCAGCAAATTTCATTTGTCGATGCAGCAAATTTCACTTTTGTTTTATTTGAAGTAATTGCCACAACCACCCCAACCTTCAGCAACCACCACCACCATGATCAGTCAGCAGCCTTCAACATTGAGACAAGACCCTCCAACAGCAAAAAGATAAGCTCAGATGATGATTAGCACTTTTTAATAAGAAAGTTTAAGGTATGTACATTGTATTTTTAGACATAATGCTATACTGCACACTTAATAGACTATAGTGTTAACATTATTTTTATTTGCCTGGGAAAACAGAAAAATTTATTTAACTCCGTATTGCAATACTCACTTGATTGCAGTGATCTGGAACCCAAGCTGCAGTATCTTCAAGGTGCGCCTGTAGTAGTTGGTCTGGCATAGGTAGCAATTTAATTTAAAATCATTCACATGTCTTCTTTCTCTCTTAGGTTCAACCCAGTTTCATGCTGGCATGAGAAGATAATCCTTTGGAACATTATGAATCAAAGTGATTTTAAACAGATTCCCTTTTGTAAATCAGTTCTTTTGTGCTTTTGTATTGTGGATATTCAGCGGGACCAATATGAACACAGCTTATGATTGTATACAAATCCCTTGCCAGCACATGAAAACAAACTGGAATTTGTACATAATAGCATTGTGTATGTATTCATGCACAATAATCATTTAATTACATGTATATTTGTGGAATGCTAATTTAAATGATTAAATTATAAACCTTGTCTATTTATCGGATGGGTGAAAAGATTAAACTTTTGCGCATTATGATACTGCTGAATGTGTAGCTTGAGGTGTCCTGCACTTTTCTTATAAGGCTACTGAATTACATGTTTCTGCCCTAATATATTTGCTACTGGTGATGAAGACAGATACTATCACTTGTAGAGACCTATTTTTGTATAATGGTAGAAGTTTTGAATTTTATGGGGTATTTTGTCAAGTACTGAAATAAAAATGACTTCACCATTTTAACCACACTGTATTTGAACCTTTTTTTTTTTTTTTTTTGGAACCTTCATTTTTAACTGAGACATAGTGCTTGGTGTATATCTTTGTCCATGCAGGCTGCTGTAAACCAAATACCGTAGACTAGATGGCTTATAAACAGTAGAAATTTACTTCTCACAGTTCTGGAGGCTGGGAAGTCAAAAATAAAGGTGCCAATAGATTTGGTATCTGGGAAGGGCCTGCTTCCTGGTTCATGGACTACAATCTTCTTGCTCTGTCTTCACATGGCAGAAGGGACAAGGGAGCTCTCTGAGGTCTCTTTTATAAGGACATTAATCCCGTTCATGAGACATCTGCCCCATGACCTTATCACCTCCCAAAGGCCCCACTTCCAGATACCAACAGACTGAGGATTGGATTTCAACATAAGAATTTGGTGGGGGGAGACGGACACGAACATTCAGCCAATGGCAGTGCAGATTATCTCATTATCTCAAATTATATATTTTGAGATTTAGAAAGTTGTCCTAATCTTAGATACTATTGGGATTTTTCTCTCCCTCCCTTGAGGAAGTTTTCTTTTTTTTTTTTTTTTAAAGATTTTTATTTATTTATTGAGAGATAGTGATAGAGAGCATGAGAAGGGGAGAGTCAGAGGGAGAAGCAGACTCCCCGCCAAGCAGGGAGCCCGATGCGGGACTCGATCCCGGGACTCCAGGATCATGACCTGAGCCGAAGGCAGTCGCTTAACCAACTGAGCCACCCAGGCACCCCTTTGAGGAAGTTTTCTATGTAACTTTCTATCAACTTTACATATAGTATTTTTTAAAAGCTATATTAATATTTTCATGATTAGTCTATAATTGCCCTATTATGTTTAGTGTTACTTGTGTCCAAATGTGTGTCTTCACAAAGCCATGCCTACTAGAATGATGCAGAAATCATTTAACTGAAAGAATCTTAAATTTTATTAACCATAATACTAAATGCAGCAGAATTAAGAAGTATTCTTGCTGTCCAAGCCAAATTCCAGATTGGCAAGCTCTCATAGAGATAATGTAAATCTCAGCATTTCTGAACCAGAATCCTCCCTGAAATACGGCATCTCACTGAAACAGCAAGAGGAATAGTATTTAATGCTTACATCCTGAAGATTTTGTCTTACCCCTGGACATTCTATGATTTTATACCAACAAACAGGCTATGGTAACAAATTCTGCATTCTCGGAGATTTCAAATTACTTAATTTTTCCATATTAGCAGCTGGGTTCCAGTTAAGGAGTTCCAGAAATAACGAATGTATCCCAAAGCATTTAATTGAGTAGAACCTTTTTTAGTTAGTATAGCTTGCCATTCAAGGCCCCTTCTGCTGTGAGAGAGAATGGAGAAGGTAGCAGATGGACAGGTGTCCCATCGTCTGACCATCAGCCCTCCTATGACATCAGGCCTCTCCAGTCCAACTTGTCGATGCTTCTCAGTCATGAGTCAGTGGTTAAAAATTAAGTCTATTCAAAGCCAAACTATGGAAAGAGCCCAGATGTCATCGAGGGATGAATGGATAAAGAAGATGTGGTTGTGGAATATTATGCAGCCATCAAAAAAACGAAATCTTGCCATTTGCAACGATGTGGATGGAACTAGAGGGTATTATGCTAAGCGAAGTAAGTAAATCAGAGAGACAATTATCGTATCTCACTGATATGTGGAATTTGAGAAACAAGGCAGAGGATCATAGGGGAAGAGAGGAAAAAAGTGAAACAAGACGAAACCAGAGAGGGAGACAAAGCATAGGAGACTCTTAATCTCAGGAAACAAACTGAGGGTTGCTGGAGTGGGGGGTGGGGTGGGAGGGATGGGGTGGCTGGGTGATAGACATTGGGGAGGGTATGTGCTATGGTGAGCACTGTGAATTGTGCAAGACTGTTGAATTACAGATCTGCACCTCTGAAACAAATAATACATTATATGTTAATAATAAGAAAAAAATTAAGTCTATTCAAGTCTAAAACAAACTACTCACTAAACACAGACTAGCCTTACTCGGGGTTTGAGCTTTTTTTGTGCCATGAACCTCTCTAGAAGTCTTGGTGAAAACTATGGGACCCTTCTGAGAATAGTGCTTTTAAACACGTAATATGTATGGGGTTGCAAAAGAAACCAATTACACAGAAATAGTACATTTTTAGGGGTGCCTGGATGGCTTAGTCATTAAGCATCTGCCTTCAGCTCAGGTCATGATCCCAGGGTCCTGGGATCGAGCCCCGCACCGGGCTCCCTGCTCCGCAGGAAGCCTGCTTCTCCCTCTCCCACTCCACCTGCTTGTATTCCCTCTGTCTCTCTCTGTCAAAATAAATAAATAAAATCTTTAAAAAAAAAGTACATTTTTAGAAATAAGATCTAGCAGTTGATCTAATAACTCCCATCATTTTAAAGTAATGATGGAAGTAAAAGACATTTCAGGAGATCTGAAACATCTTTTTTTTTTTTTTAAAGATTTTATTTATTTGAGAGAGAGAATGAGAGACAGAGAGAGCACACGAGAGGGGGGAGGGTCAGAGGGAGAAGCAGACTCCCGCCGAGCAGGGAGCCCGATGTGGGACTCAATCCTGGGACTCCAGGAACACGACCTGAGCCGAAGGCAGTCGCTTAACCAACTGAGCCACCCAGGCGCCCCGAGATCTGAAACATCTTAATGTGATACAGAAAATCTGTGATTTTTGTTCTCAAAATCATGGGTACTGCTAATACTAGTAGAGTTTGTTGCTTCATAAATAAAGGAAATACTAAATTACAGTTTGAAATTAGTACAAAGATGGAATTTTTTTTTTCCCATCCAAGTTGCTAGATTCCTGAATTCTACTCAATGAAGCACACCACTTTATAATTAGTGAATTAGACTATATTTTTTTCTCAGAGATAATGTGAAAAACTCAACAGCAGAGATTTCACCTTCACAAAGAGTTTAACATGAGTCCTCTAGCAGCTTTCCCGTATATATAAAGGAAAATATTTTGGCCTCATCCAGTAAAAACAGATTATGTGGTCAAATTAGAACAGGTATATATAGTCAGGTCCCCAGTTATACTTTGAACTGATTCTTGAACACAGGCTGCCCCTCAACAATGCGACCAATCATACTACTCCCAAAGACCCTACACTTCACATTATCTTAAAGCCAGAGTTCCTGGTCTCTGATTTTGTATTTTTTTTTTTTTAAATAAAAAGGTTGTTAACCTAAATTAAGTTTTAATAAACAGAACTAATAACAGAAACATCCCTAATTAGATTCTAGAGAGGAAGCAGGAAACCACCTAGAGCCAAAGAGAACAAAACTATTCCTTAAGAACTTTATTTTGGGCTTTCACATTATGTCACCACGTGGAACCAGATAGAAGTTTATCAGGTAGATAAATATGTAGTATTTAGTAATTAGATCAAGATACATGTGCATTCTTTAGTAGTAGTATTTTTTAGGAAATGTAATTAGTCATTGTCAGATCTCTCTGTTTCCTGGAGACGAAGCTCCTTCCAGATAAAATTTGAAAGAACATTTTTTTTTTCTACAGCATAGCTCCATCATTGCTAGGTATCATCATACCAAAACAATTGATGGGATTCTTTTTTATCCAAGGCTTTAACTTAGTTTATTCCCTACCCACCCATCCTCACTCACACACACAAACATTACCCAGTAAATAATCTGAGCTTTCCAAGTATCTCCCTGGGCCTCTAGGCCTTTTTATACTTGCAGCTCTAGTCCAAGATGTAAATACCCTGAACTTACTTTCCAAGAGCTACGTTTGTTAAGATTAATACCTGGAAACTGTTTAGAATCTGTCAATTACCAAGATCCCCCTAAATAATTTCATACTAATGAGTTTGGTTTCCTTAATAGCCACCATAAAACTATTAAGAAATATCTGAAATGCGATTAGATTTGATGGAACCATTCAGTTAAGAAAATAAAAAAACCGTAAGCTAGCTTTTAAAATTATACTCAAAAAAAGAATACACCAGGAGTTGTTTCATAAACTTCATTCTCTTCAAATGCTTTTGCAGTTTACAGTGATGTTTTACATGTTTGTTAGTTCCCTGCAGCCCTTTTCATTTTGATCTTCGTTCGTATCGGATAACTGGATTTTCAGGGGTGTGAATCATGGTTGTATAATTCACAGTGGGAAAATATCCATCAATGAGATCAAATTCATATAAACGAAGCATAGTGGACCAAATTGTCTTGATTTGAACATAGGCAAAATTCTCCCCAATACAACGATGACGCCCTGTTAAAAAAAGAAAGTTTTCTAAGAATCAATTGAAATTCTTTTTCCCGTCTTTTCTCCTGGAATGATAAATTTGTTTACAGTTTGGAGGGACAGCAGATATAGAGATAATATAGGAAAAAGATGACATTCTTTTCACATAAAAGAAGAATGTAAAATAAAATAGTTAAAAATCTCAGGAAAAAAAAAAGAAAAGGGGCGCCTGGGTGGCTCAGTCATTAAGCGTCTGCCTTCGGCTCAGGTCGTGATCCCAGGGCCCTGGGATCGAGCCCCACATCGGGCTCCCTGTTCAGTGGGAAGCCTGCTTCTCCCTCTCCCACTCCCCCCACTCTCTCTGCCAAATAAAAATCTTAAAAAAATAAAGTAAAAATCTAAGGAGATTTTCAAGGTTTCTTTTTAAGGGAAATAGCACTTGGATAATTATATAATCACTTTTCTAATTACTTTTTTTGAAATGTCACATCTATCTAAGTTTAAATATATGTAAGATTTGAAATCTATGATGACAATCTACTTTGGGAATATACTAGAATATTCTTAGCTTCTGTCCCAAGAGAGCCCTAGTCAAAAGTCAATATGAACCCGCCAATCAAAATTTTAAATGCCAGGGGCACCTGCCTGGCTTAGTCAGTGGAGTGTGTGCAATTCTTGATCTCAGAGTTGTGAGTTCGAGCCCCATGCTGGGTGTAGAGATTACTTAAAAATACAATCTTTAAAAAAAACTTTAAATGCCATTTCAAAATAATAATGGAAGAAAAAGGGATTTAATAAATCAAAATAGCAACACAAGATCAAAATTCAAAAGGTTATATACATGTAAAAACTGACAAGTTGATTCTAAAATACGTATGGATAAAAAACACTAATTCAAAAGGATACATGCACCCCAATGTTTACAGCAGCATTATTTACAATAGCCAAATTATGGAAACAGCCCAAGTATCCATCAACTGATGAATGGATAAAAAAGATGTGGTATACAATGGAATATTACTCAGCCATAAAGAATGAAATCCTGCCATTTGCAACGATAAGGATGGAGCTAGAGACTATTATGCTAAGCAAAATAAGTCAGAGAACGACAAATGCCATCTGATTTCACTTGTGGAATTTAAGAAACAACAAACGAGCAAAGGGGAAAAAGAGAGGCAAACCAAGAAACAGACTCTTAACTATAGAGAACAAACTAATGGTTATCAGTATGGAGGTGGGTGGGGGAAAGGGAGAAATAGTTGATAGGGATCAAGGCATGTACTTGTTGTAATGAGCACTGGGTGTTGAATGGAAGTGTTTAATCACTATACTGTACACCTAAAACTAATATTACACTGTATGTTAACTAACTGGAATTCAAATAAGAACTTTTTAAAAAATGCATATGGAAATGCAAAGGAGGACCTAGGATATATGGAGCAGTCTTGGGGGGAAAAAAAAGTTGTAAGACTTAAACTGACTTCAAATTTGACTCCAATACTAAAGGTATAGCAACTGTGATACTGTGGTTTGTAATAAATACATATTTGCTCTTTCTCCCATCCCTGGCACAGAGCTCCTCAAACACCTTGGAATTTCTTAAGAGCAAAGAGCAATAAAAGAAGTCAGAAGACTTTTGTTATTCGTAACAAGCCCCTTTCAACCACACTTGAGTTTGTTAATGAGGGGACTTTTGGAAATCCCCTCAGAGTAGGGCCTGGCTGCCAAGGGAACCAACCATGTGCTTGAAGGGTTAGAACTTACAGCCCTAACCCCTGACCTCCAGATGGGAGAAGGGGCTGGAGGCTGAATTACTCACCAATGATTTAATCAATCATGCCTACATAATGAAGTCTTCACAAAGGTCCCTATAGTATGGAAGACTGAGAAGTCGTATTCAGAGAGCTTTCCAGGTTGGTGAACATATGGAGATGGTGGCATACCCAGAAGGCATGGAAGCTCTGTGCCCTTTCCCCCATATCTTGCCCTATGCATCTCTTCAATCAGCTGTTCCTGAGCTGTATCCCCCACCTTTGTAATAAACTGTTAATCCAGTAAATAAACTGCTTTCCGAGTTCTGTGAGCCATTTTAAGAAACTGTGGAACCTCAAGGAGGGGATCAAGAAAACCTCTGATTTACAGCCCACTGGTCAGAAGAACAGGAGACAACCTGGACTTGCAATTGGTATCTGAAGTGATGGGGGGCAAGAGGGAATCTTGTGAGACTAAGCCCTTAACCTATGGGGTCTGTGCTAACCCCAGGTGGATAGTGTCTGAACTGAGTTGAACTGTAGGAAACCCAGTGGGTGTCCAGAGAGAATTAGTGTGAGAAAAACAACATTTGGTGACCAGAACTGTTGTCAGAAGTGTTCTAAGTGAGTGTAGAGTAGAAAGTGGGGTGGTTTTTCTTTCACAGCAACCAAGACAATGTGGTTCTCGATAGGGCTCAACAAACAGAACAATGGAACACAGCAAAGAGCCAAGACATACTTTTATAGTTATTTGATTATCAAGAAAGGCAGTAAATAAAGCAAGCCAATGGAGAAAAAGTCTTTTCAACACATGGTATGGGAATAACTATGTATCTAATATTAAAAGAAAGCAGAGGTGGTGCCTGGGTGGCTTAGTCAGTTAAGCGTCCGCCTTTGGCTCAGGTCATGATCCCAGGGTCCTGGGATCGAGCCCCGCATCAGGCTCCCAGCTCAGCCCTCCCTGCCTTGTACATGCTCTTGCTCGCTCTCTCAAATAAAATCTTTTTTTTTTTTTTTTTTAAGATTTTTATCCATTTACTTGACAGAGAGCACACATGAACAGGGGAGGGACAGAGGGAGAAGGAGAAGCAGGCTCCCCGCTGAGCAAGGAGCCCGATGCGGGACTCAATCCCAGGACCCTGGGATCATGACCTGAGCCAACGGCAGACACCCAACCGACTGAGCCACCCAGGCATCCCAATAAATAAAATCTTTAAAAAAAAATAAACCAAAAACCCTCAATTCCTGTCTCACACCAAACTCAAAAACTAATTCCAGATGATCATAGGCCTAAACATAAATGCTAAAACCATCAAATTTTTTTTAAAGATTTTATTAGAGAACAAGAGAGGGCAGAGAGCACAAGTAGAAGGGGTGGCGGAGTGGGGGAGCACAGTGAGAAGGAGAAGCAGATGCCCTGCTGAGCAGGGAGCCCAATTCAGGGCTTGATCCTAGGACCCTGAGATCATGACCTCAGCCAAAGGCAGACGCTTAACCAACAGAGCCACCAAGGTGTCCCAAACCATCAAATTTTAATAAGGAATAAGAGATGAGAATGTCTTCATGACTTGGGGCCAGACAAAGGTTTTTAGACAGGACCAGGAAGCTAACAATTTTAAAAGTCAATAAATTAGGTTTGATTGAGGTTATTCATTTGTCAAAACAATACTGACTTGAGTATTTCATTGTAAAATTTTACATCAAAACTAGAATACTGAACTTTATTATATACTTGCTGAAAAATTCAGGAAGACATATACTGATGTATGCAGTTTACTTTGAAATGCACCTGAAAAATAAATGGATTGATGGACCGATATGTGATAAAACAAGTGCAAGTAAAATGTCAATGGCAGAATCTAGATAATGGGTATATGAATGTTCAGTATAAAATTCTTTTGACTTTGCTTTGAAATTTTTATTAAAATGTCAGAGAAATTTTAATAAAAAATACAATTCGTGTATTTTTAAAAAGTTATATATAAAAGCCAGAAAGACAAACTTAATAAAAGATGGTATCAGAAATATTTAAGCCAGAGAGAACTAATGCCTTCCAATCTCTCCAGCCTACCAAAACCTCATAAAGTAGTAAGCTCAATAACAAAAGATGGCTTTTCAGGGAATACAAAAAGATCAAGTCAAATTATTAGAACTGAAAAAAGCCTTACTAAGCCTTGGTTTCCATTTCTGAAAAATGAATAAGACAGTCCCCCTTCCTCATAGTGTGGTTGTGAAGATTAAATAGAAAAAAAATTAACAAAAAAATGCGTATTATTAAGCACAGTGCTGTGTGGCCCATAAATGCATTTACTTCTAAGAGCCCTATTTAAGAAGGGTGTTTACAAACCATTCCATATTCAAATATAACAACTAAGGAGAGGGTTGGCTTACTCACAGGGAGATTAAAGGATTATTTTTAATAGCAGGAAACCAGAACTATCCTAACTATGAATTAATAGAAAAATGGATATATTCTGATGATTCACAAAAGGTAATATTATGAAAATGAATAAGCTACATGCTACATGCACCAACACAGAAAAAATTACACAAAGTCATGATTGAAGAAACTGGACATACTTAACATGATGATCAAATGGGGTAGAACAGTGTCCCCCCAAAATTCATGTCTACTCAGGAATCAGACTTTGCAGATATAATTAGTTACGATGAAGTCATACCGGGTTAGGGTGAGCCCTAAATCCAGTGCTGGTGTCCCTCAAAGAAAGCCATGCACAGACTCAGAGAGACATACACAGGGCAGATGGCCAAGTGAAGATAGGCAGTGATCAGAGTGATGTAGCTACAAGCCAAGGAATGCCAAAGATTGCCAAGAGCCACGGGAAGTTTGGAACAAAGCAAGGAAAGACTCTCCCCTAGAGCCATCAGGGAGAGCAAGACCCTGCCAACACCTTGATTTCAGACTTCCGGCCTCCAAAAATGTGGGAGAATAAATGTCTATTGTTTTAAGTCACCCAGTTTGTGGGAGTTAAAGTAGCCCTAGGAAACTGGCACAATGATGAAAAATTTGAGGGAACATTGTATCTTATATTCAGATAGCTCAAAGATATACAATATAACTTCAGAGAACACAATTAGGGGATGTTTAAAACACAATGGGATGTTAAAAGGAAACAGATTACATCTTTTTTTTTTTTTTTTAAGTAGGCTCCACACCCAACATGGGGCTTGAACTCATGACCCTGAGACCAAGAGTCACATGCTCTACCAACTGAGCCAGCCAGGCGCCCCCAGATTACAGCTTTAATGTAAGTTTTTAAAAATGGGAGCTGTTCAAAAAACAAAAGGAGCTGCCATAGAAGGTGACTGAGAATCTGTTACCTAAAAAAGTTCCAGTGCAGTCCAGGCAATTACCAGTTTAGAAATGATTCCTCTTTGGGGCAGATTTTGGGCCACAGAACTAATGCCCCTTCCAACTGTTTGAACAATCTATGACTCTTTTATATGTGATGTTATATACCATATTATTAATTTATTTATTAGAGTTACTAAGATCTGAAGTTCCTAAAGGACTTTATACTTTCCTTTACGTGTGGAAACAGTGTGACCAGTGACAAAAAAGTTGTGCCACTTCAAATCTCTTTGGAAAGACTAAACAAGAAGTCATAAAATGTAGTTTAATCTGTAGAGTACCAATGAACAGAGAAATTACTGCAGGAACAAGGGTCTGCCTGCATAATTTAAGAGTGGTAATTGAAATGCAGAAGTTTGCAAACCTATGTAAGACCTGCCCAAATTTAAAGACCATTTTATCCTAAGGATACAGACAGAGCACCAAAAAGTTGACTAACAATCCAGAAAAGCTTCAATTTTAACAAGACTGCTTTTGCTCTTTTCTGAAACACTGATAATCTGTTATCATATTTAGCCTGAAATAATTGCCTAAATGGTGTGCTAATTCCAGTGGTTCTTTAAAACAATTCACAAAGAGCTTAAAATACTATTGTAAGGGAAAACAGGGTGGACTATTAAAATTAACCCTGAAAAAACTAAATTGGTTAGAAGGTAATAGAGCTTTATATAAGGATTCACAAAACTATTTCCTTTAGTACAAACAAAATACTTTTCCAACTTGGCAAAGATTATACTCCTACAAATGTTTACAGGAATGTCCCTATGAGGAAAGGAAAAGATATTTATAAATAAAATTCATATGGATTATTTTGACAGACATAAATATATTATCAGAACAAACATTTCAAATGTAAAATGGTATCTTACCAGCTCCAAATGGCACGTAAGCAAACTTCTCTCCTGATGCTGGATTGTCCTGTAAGTAGCGATCAGGATTAAAGTCCAGACGTTCTACCCATGAGTCTTTAAGTCTTTGATTGACAGTGGGAGAGACACACACCTGATGTCCTGGAGGAATGGTATATCCTGCCACGGTCTACAAATGAAAGCAACACATTTCATTAGATAATATAAAACTATTCTACCAAATAACCAGACTATTGTGTAATAAAGCATTAACACACATGTGATATACATATATTTAAAAACTAGCTAGATGATAGGCCAGCTAAAAATTATTTTAACTCAAGATGATTTCCAAGTGACCCAACATTGGGCTGGAAACTTAAAAAAGCCATAATGCCTCAGAGGTAGTGGAGGGATATCAAGGAGCCTTTCACAATCTGATTTATTTCCATATTATCAGAATTTTTAATAAAACATGCTTTTTTTTAAACCAGGAAAAAAATACACTACCATTTTTAAAACCCTAACTGTTAAATAAAAATGCAGGGAACAGATTAGCATGTTTACTCTCTAATTATATAAAAATATCTATATAAATAGAATATATAATTACATATCAGAGTTCGAATATAAAAAATTGAAATTATGTGAAAACGATTATTCTACTTTTTTAATTTAAAAAATTCTCTTTGCTGTTATATTTCTTCTTTCTGATAAATAAAAACTGGGGGAATGGAAGGGGAGATCTAACCAAGAGACTCACCTGAGGAGTTTTGGCCATTCTCATCATGGTCATTATAGGAGGTCGAAGTCTTAATGTTTCTTTTATACAGCGATCAAGTAAATTTAGATCCTTCAGCTAAAAAGGGAAAGCATTTCCGGAGTTTTAGAAATATTTAACTTACTTCAGCAGTATGTGTTTAAACTTATGGGTTATAATAAAATAGTTTCTATTGTGGTAGAAGGGCAAAGAGGTAACTGGTTCAGTATCCGAGATTATCTTGTTCTGTCGCTTTCCATGGTCAACAAGGGAAAGAGGGCAAGATACCATCAGTACAAGAGGTAATCACTCTGAAGAGTGGCATAGTAAGGGCCTGCAAAAATCCACTTGTCTAAAAAGTGAAAACACTAGCAAAAATCATGCTACCACACAGATGAAACTTGAAAACATGCTAAGCAAAAGAAGCCAGTCACAAAAGACCACATACTGTATGATCCTGTTTATACGAAATGTCCAGGATACAGCAAATCCATACAGACAAAACGTAGATCAGTGGTTGCCAGGGGCAGGGGAAATGGAGCATGACTGCTAACAGGTACCGGCTTTCTTTTGGAAGTGATTTAAATGTTCTAAAGTTGTGATAGTTTCCACAATTCTGAATATATCAAAAAACAGTAAGTTAGATCCTTACTGACTGGACTGTCTCTATGGTATGTCAATTATATATCAATTAAGCTATTACTTTAAAAGTTACAAAATCAGGAATGAAAGAGACATCACTGCTGGCCTTACAGAAATAGAAAGGATTGTAAGAAAAAACTGTAACAATTGTAAGCCAACGAATTAGGTAACCTAGATGAAAATGGACAAATTCCTAGAAGGACACAAACCAAAGACTCAAGAAGAACCAGAACGTAGGAATAGATGTATAACAAGTAATCAAACAACTTCCCACAAAGAAAAGCACAGACTCAATGGCTTCACTGGTGAATTCTAACCAGACATGTAAGAAAGAATTAGTATCAATCCTTCACAAACTCTTCCAAAAAAATAAGAGGAGGGAACACTTATAGACTCTTTCTTTGAGACCAGCATTACTCTGTATACCAAAACCTGTCAAAGACCTCATGACAAAACTACACATCAGTATCCCTCATGAACACAGATGCAAAAATCCTCAACAAAATACTAGCACACTGAATCCAACATGAAGACATTTCAAGGAGGGCCATGGGGACTTTTCTAAAAAAAGCTAAGCAATTTAATCTATAGTAAATAGAATATATCAAATTGTCCCCTTTAAAAACTAGCCACTCATTAGATACTCGAAGTCATAAAGCAGCAGTGAAACTAAAAATCCAACAAACCTGGTCATAAGTTAAAGGAGGCAGATCTTCTCCACAGACTGTTTTCTGTTCTAAATAACATTTTTCTTGAAGTGTTTTGTCTCTGGCCAAGAAGAAGCCCATCCAGGCACTAGTAGTTGAGGACGTGTGCTGGCCTGCCAAGAGCAGTCCAATAAGCATGCCTGCTACTTCGTCGTCTGTCAGAGGGCGCCCATCCCTAAGGAAGGAGTCACACACAAATTTAACAGTTTGGCAGACCATTTCATGCCTTCACATTTAAATAAAGGGTCGTAGTGAATAAACTTTTCAGGTGTAATAGTCTCTTGCATTTGCCCATCACAAGTGAGAATTTTTTCCCCTGCGGGGAAAGAGACAGACCAAAGAAATGTATGATTTTCATTACAAAAGATGTTCCTGCAGTTTGTCAGCAGGCGTTGCCCCATGCCTGGTCCTTGGGCTCCAGGAAGGCAATGGGATCCCATTAATTCGTGTCTCATCCATTTAACAAGCCCAAGGCTCATAGCTACTAATTTTGTCAACATCACTACTTTTTAACTGGACATATTTTTTAACTTTGTATTGAAATTGCCTGCTTCAGCTTAACATGTGATCCGAACAGCTCTTACTTGTAAGTAGAATCTAGTAAAGTTTGGAGAATGTCATCAATTTTTTCTTCTGACTGTCTGCGCTTCTGGATTGCTTTATAGAAAATATTCTTGATCTCTCGATGAGCTCTGTCCCTGCGTCTGCAATTCAAAGACAAAAATGACTAAAAAATAATGTCATACTTTCTGGCATCAGATTCATTTTGAAAATAACCAGGACCTAGCTTAAGAATGACTCAAATAATTGACAAAAAACTCAGAACCAAAAGAAAAAAAGAAGTTAGACGAACCATGAGAGACTATGGACTCTGAGAAACAAACTGAGGGTTCTAGAGGGGAGGGGGGTAGGGGGATGGGTTAGCCTGGTGATGGGTATTAAGGAGGGCACGTATTGCATGGAGCACTGGGTGTTATATGCAAACAAGGAATCATGGAACACTACATCAAAAACTAATGATGTAATAATGTATGGTGATTAACAAAAAAATAAATAAATAAATAAAATCTTATACTGTTAGAAATTTCTAGCATCCTTACATACATATCCCTGATTCTTAACATACTTCCTATGTTCTAACAAAAGGTCTAAAGCAAGACTGTGATTATTCCTTTAGAATCATTTTCCAGTTTAACAGAAAGCAGAATACTTTAAATTAACGAAATTCCAATTTTAACCAAATTAATTCTTGAAGCAGATGGAGAGTGATTCTGGTTTTTCTATAGGATTCAGAACTTGAATAAACCTAAGATTTATTTAGGATGACCTAAATCCAGGATGTAGAACATGATGACAGTATACAGGATTTGATTCTACTTGGGGGCAAAAATACTAGGAGGCAGGGGCGCCTGGGTGGCTCAGTTGGTTAAGCGACTGCCTTCGGCTCAGGTCATGATCCTGGAGTCCCGGGATCGAGTCCCGCATCGGGCTCCCTGCTCGGCAGGGAGTCTGCTTCTCCCTCTGACCCTCCTCCCTCTCATGCTCTCTGTCTCTCATTCTCTCTCTCTCAAATAAATAAATAAAATCTTAAAAAAAAAAAAAAATACTAGGAGGCAGAAAACAAACTTCAGTTCCCCAAACCTTCCCTTTAAAGGAGGGTGCTCACTAGGTAACAGGTACTCTAAGTGTTTCGGAAAGTGAACTGGCCACTTTGACCTCCCATGAGGTAGATGCTCTTAGCCTCACTTCGCAGGTAGCTGCACAGTTCCACACAGCCAGAAAGCAGCAGAGCTGCGACTTCAAACCATGCGATCTGACTGCCTAGCCCCTTCACAACTGGGCTTCCAATAAAACTGCTGCTCTGCTGAGACCATGTGGGCAGAAGACGTTTACTGACAGGAACACAGCAGTGCCAGGAAAACGTAAGTCCTGTTTTAAGAAAGGGCATGGAATAATTCGGTTCAATCATTTGGTCTGGGTAAGGCAGAGAAAGACTGGGCTGAAAGGAAGTCAGGAATTTCTGATTTCATCCAGGAGATAGAAAAGGTAAAAACGGGCTGTTGCACACTTCTGGAGAACCCTCTACAGGCTATGGATGAAAGCATTTTGAAAAATGCAAAGCTCCTGACAAATATAAAGTATTACGAGTTCCAGAGAATTCCAGAGAATCTCTCCTGGCTTTCCCTTTTTCTCCCCCTCTTTATCCTGTAACTATATAGAAGTAGCAGAACTAGAAGGAAAAGGGAGTACCAATTTAACTCCTCCCCATCTCTCACCTGAACGGAAATGAATCAACAGGTAACAGAAAGCCCACTAATATGCAAGACACTAAACTATATGTCGAGTCCTATAAGCAATATTTCTTTGTATCAGATGGTCCCTGACCTTAAGGAAATCACAGTATAGTTGTAAGAAAACAAAGAGAAAAGTAAAGAAAGGTACTTACTACTTCAAAACAAAGAAATTTCACAATAGACTATAAAACAGTCAAATATTTTCAAATAAGTACCTAGAGGGGTGTATCACTTTTAGGAAGAGTCCAGAGACTTTCCTGAGTAGAAGGAATATGTGAGATAAGTAGGTTTTAAATTAGAATAGCTAGACAACAAATGACCTCTTTTATAAACTGAAACTGAGCTTAAATGAGCTCACTATATAAAGAAAACCTGTCTTGAATTCTTACAGAAGAATTGGGGCTCATAATCTCCCTAATTTGTCTGTTTTATGTTTATTTTTTATCTTGGTTAAAGCAAAGCATGCCAACACTACAGCAATTCTACAGTTAAATAAGCAAGTATAGGGTCTTTAGCCATACCTGAAACTAGGCAAAGGGAGCCAGCCTGGCAGTAGCCAGGCTGCGTGGCTAAAACCTCCATCCAGATCTGCATACAGTTGTGCCACTTTCTCATTGAGTTGACTTCTGATTTCCTTTCCATGTAAACAATGGCTAGCTGTTAAAATTATGAGCTCCGAAAGAGCTTCAAACAAATCTAGAGGAAAAAAGATCATTCCCATTACTATTGCCAAATATTCTTTTGAAATTTTCTGCTTAGAGATATAAAAGTTTTACAAAGGAAAAGTGAGAATAAAAACTCAAGAACCAACAAGATCCTGTTCATATCATCAAAAAAAGCCTACAGACATATGGATACAACAAAGAGAGACAAACTCATGATGGGAAGCACCTCTGTACAGCCAAAAGAGAGGCCACAAAGGCATCTCTAAACCTCACTCATGACTCTTCAACTTGAAAAGATAAACTGAAGATAGGGCGCCTGGGTGGCTCAGTTGGTTAAGCGACTGCCTTCGGCTCAGGTCATGATCCTGGAGTCCCGGGATCGAGTCCCGCATCAGGCTCCCTGCTCA